TGAAATGACTAACCGTGGCTAACAGGTTGACGGCAACCTCATGAAAGATTCTGTCCAGACCATCCAGCTAAGCCAGTCCTGTATTCCTGATCCACAGACATGTCAAGATAGCAAATGTTTGTTTTAAGCTTCTAATTTTAGGGATAATTTGTTATGCATCAGTAGATAACTAATACACAGATGAAATAGCTGCAAATTGGAATAAACGCATATTCCCTTATGGTAGAGCAGATGCCCATCAAGAGAAGTGGTATGGTCAAGTGGTTAATGAAATAGGCTTTGGAGCCTGAATGCTGGTTTCAGATCCTGGCTCTGCCACATACTGGCTGTGTGATCTTAGCAAGTCTTTTTTTTTTTTTTTTTTTAAAATTTTTTTTTTTCAAAAAAAAAAAAAAGATTTTTTTGTTTCTTTTTGAGAGAGAGAGAGTGCGAGCACAGAGGGAGAGGGAGAAGCAGGCTCCCTACTGAGCAGAGCTGACGTGGGGCTCAAACCCAGGACCCTGAGATCATGACCTGAACCAAAGGCAGACACTTAACCGACTGAGCCACCCAGGAGCCCACTTTTTTTTTTTAATGTCTATTTTCTAATTTGATCATTTGTAGAATGAAGATTAACAGTACTTATGTTAAGGTTGTTGTGAAGAGTCAAGAAGTTAGAAAAAAGTGTGTAGCCCAGAACTTGACACATTTTAAAGGTTCAATTAATATAACTATTGTTAGTCTGTATTCTTGAGCATTTGTTATTAATCTATCTTTTTTTTTTAAGATTTATTTATGTATTTATTTGAGAGAGAGAGCATGAGCAGGGGGAGGAGTAGATTCCCCACTGAGCCGGGAGACCGACGTGGGACCCGATCCCAGGACCCAGGGATCATGACCTGAGCTGAAGGCAGATGCTTAACTGACTTAGCCATCCAGGCACCCCATGTTATTTATCTATTTGTTCGAGCTATTTGCTAATGGTCTTTCATACTGGAAAATGGCTATTGAAGGTGAATGCCCCTATCTAAATCTGACTCAAATTTAGCAGTGCCATCTACACTGTATTGAGCACCTACTATGTGCCAGGGACAATGCTAGGTCCTGAAAAAAGTAAGATATGATCCATGTCCCCAGAGTTCAAATTCTCATAAGGGAGGCAGAAACAAATGTATTCATGTAATTAAGGGTTCTAAGTCTAAAAGACTTGTGAGTTGAAGAATCTTGAAGAATTTATCACCCAAATGCCATTCGAATTTGGTATACTCCTTGTTATGGGGAGAAACTTGATAGGTCTATGCCTAGGAGAAAATTTGAGAATCAGTTTAGAAGTTCAGAAATGAAAATATCCGTTTTCATTGCTAATGGAGGCTGTAATTTATACTGGGGATACAAAGCACAGAGGAGAGCAGTAAGCTGAAATGAAGACAGGCTTTGGATCTCAGCTTAAATGTCACTTCCTGAGAGAGCCTCCTCCACATACCCCTGTTCTCTTCCTTCCTCTTCATAGCATTTATCATAATTAATGCTTATTTGTGTTTTTTTTTTTTTCATAAGCACCATGAGGGCAAGAATCTCATCTGGTTTACTCACCACTATAAACACAGCATCTAGTTTGATCTAGGGGCCTAATACATTTTTGTAAATGAATGTTAAATGAGTGTTTAGAACTATTAGCATCCTGGTGGGTCATTGAAGACCCATAGAAAACTTGAGATCAGGATGCCTGGCTGGCTCAGTTGTTAGAGTATGCGACTCTTGATCCTGGGGTTGTGAGTTCGAACCCCATCTTGGGTGTAGAGATTACTTAAAAATAAAATCTTAAAAAAAAAAAACCTCGAGATCAATGCAGCAGGATGCTGAGTCAAAGACTGAATTTGTGTGCAGTCTTTTACTTCTCTAGCAAAGAGAGGTGCCGGAAAGACCTTGATGGTCCATAAGAGGGGAATTCCTTTGGAGGACAGTGCTGTAGAATTTCCCTCCCCTCCACTTGATACACACAAAATCCAGGAGGGATGAGGAGGAGGCTCTCTTGTTAGGAAATAGAGGGTAATCAGCCTTCTTGTGCTTTGAAGACTGTAAAGGATACTGGTGATCTTACATCTAGCATCCATGGTCCTCTTGGCCCTTACAGGACTCCAGTTTTACTCAAGTAGCCATACCTCCCCCTTGCAATTTATGTGACTCAAGGAGCACCCACCCCATTGCCAATTCCAATTATGGTAACCCCTTTTCCCTTCTGGAACCCAATCTTAAGTCTTCTTCACATTTGCTAGGCAGTTACTGATTGGGAGGCAGAGTATGTGCCTGTGTGACCTAATTGGTCAAAAAAACCAGAAGGAAGGATTTTAGATGGAAAAGAAAGTATATGGTCCTGATTGCTCCTGGTAGACATCTGGAAAACCACTTTAGTATGAATTTGAAACCTACCATGTTTAGAGGAGAGCAGAGAGACTAATAGACTGGGTCCTTGATAAGTTGTTGAACCATTGAGTTCACCAACCTTAAAGTCTGTTTTGCCAGTTGTGTGAGATAATAAATTTATTTATTGCTTAAGAAGACCGTTTGAATCAGCTTTTCTATTATCTGCAGCCAAAATGGTTACAACTGACGTGTAATATTTGACCTCCTGGCTCAATTAGTGCAGCTAGTCAGAAGAGTGGGCAAGTCACCCTATTGTCTTGGAAAAGGCAAGCAGTTGGATTCTGTGTTTCGACGGTTGAAAATGAAAATCTGTTTAACTAGCAGCTATTGCTAGTGAGAATAGCCAGGTAAGGAAAAGGATTGGGGGCAGAGTTGAGAACATGTTTGCGTAGGGCAGACACAGAGATCAAACTCACAGTAACCCCAGCTGCCTAGGAAGAAGGCTAAATATGGGCCTGAAAGTATTGTGCCTGAAAAGCTGTGACCCTGAGACTTCTTGTGAGACACATCATGATTAATGCCCTCTGTTGGAGATCCTTGTTGGCCCTTATGGGACCTGCACAACCACAGGCCTGGAAAATACAGGTCGTCAAACAGCGACACCATGTGGCTGTAAGATGCAACGACAATAGTGGGCCAATGAGACGCCAGGCCTTCCCTTCAGGTGTGTGGAAGTTGTATTTTTCTGCTAGGAATTTTTGGATCACTTAACCCCCATGAGTTTTTGAAAATGGTGTACAGGGACCCTATTTGTAGGTTCTGAATTTATTAAGCTGAGAAATAAAATATTGAGGTGATTTCCTTTTGTGAGGAAAAAAAGCAGTGATCGTATTTGTACATGGTGGAGCTGTTTTTACAGTTTTTATCTGTATTATCAAGATGCATGAAAATTAGGCTTGAAGACACCCAAACAAAAACCTTTCCATTTTATTAGTTCCTTTGAAAACTTGTCTATGGTTTCCCATCACCCCCTGGATAAAGTCCCAGGTCCTTAGCACACCTCCTTTGGCCTTCCTACTCTGCCTCTCCAGGGATGGAACGTATTACTCAGTTTCGTCAGGAAACCCTCAGTAAGTTCCATTATATTTTTTAAAGGCTTTGGGAGTTAGGTTTTAGGAGAGGGCAGATATGAGCTGTACCAAAGGGGCCCAGGTTTAATGACAAAAAATAATAAGGTTTACTGATTACTTGTGATCTAGGCATTATAATAATGTGCTTTGAAATTATTTAATTTGCACATGAAGTTTTCTCTAAATATCTTTCCTCCCTGTATTGCTGGGGAACTCCTACCGTTCAGAATCATTCGAGTATTCCTCTAAGTTTGCAGTTCTTGAGCTTGGCTGCCCACTGGAATCACTTGGGGAGTGGGGAGGGGAGAGACACTATTGACAAACTATTAACACCTGAGTCCCACCCTGGAGATAATGATTTAAGTCGTCTGGGGCTTGAGCACCAAGTTTTCACAGCTCCTCAGGTGATTCTAATATGCAGCGAGGGTTGAGACCCACAGGTCTAGGAAGACTAAAGTGACCCATTTAGATAATTCTTCTCTTTCCCTTCTGTGCCCTGCGCAAACTTCTCTGATTACGCCTATCACACTGATCTTAATTTCAGAGCGTATATTCATCCCCCTAACTAGACTTTAAGCATCTCCGGTCAGCCACCTCTGCATTTCTGGAGCCTCAAATAGGGCCTGACACTTCGTGGAGACTTGAAAATGCTGAACGGGGCGCCTGGGTGGCTCAGTCATTAAGCGTCTGCCTTGGGCTCAGGTCATGATCCCAGGGTCTTGGGATCGAGTCCCACACTGGGCTCCCTGCTCGGCAAGAAGCCTGCTTGTCCCTTTCCCATTCCCCCTGCTTGTGTTCCTGCTCTCGCTATCTCTCTGTCAAATAAATAAATAAAATCTTTAAAAAAAAAAAAGTGCGGAACGGAAGGGTAAAATGTCATCAACAAACACATACTGGGGTCCTCCAAATGCCAGGTGTTGCCGTGCTCAGCAAGGTCTGGAACCTAGAGAACAGGCTGACTAGTCCTGTAGCAAGGGCTCACAGTCACAGCCTGAGTATGTGTGTGGAGGGCAGTGTGCGGTGGCTACCTTGCCGGGGCCTCATTTTCACCTACGGCCTCAAATATGTATTTCTGCGGTCTTCCGGGCAAATGAGTTTCCAGGTGGCTGTTGACAGCACCTGCAAGGCCAGGGCTTGTCTTCAGTGCGACGGCGGTGCGCAGGCGCACACCGTGAGCTCGGCGCACTCTCGCCTACGTGACTGTAATTCCCGCCCCCACGGCGGAGCGAACCGGACGCGGGGCCGACCTAGACCCCTGGGTCCCCGCCCCGACCACCCGCCCGGAGGTGGGAGAAAACAGCTCCCGCGTTCGGAGGAGGAGCCGAGGCGGGCCCTCTCGCCGCGCTCCAGCTCGATTGGCTGGCCTCCCGCGGCAACGTAACGGTCGCGGAGGCGGGGCCGGAGGGGGCTGAGTGGGGCCGGGCCGGGCGCGCTGGGGGAGGGAGGCCGCGGCCAAGGAAGGTGAGTGGAGCTGGGGTTCCGCTCCCTGAAGCATCCCCGGGACCGGACCGGCCTGGCCTGGTCCGAGAGAATGGTCAGAACGACCCTTGTCCGGGCGCCCAGAGAGCCCGCCGGTTAAAAATCCCTGTATAAGGGTTGCGGTCCTGGACAAACCCGGTTCGAGTCCTGGCTCCCCGGCCTTTGCCATCTTTGGCTGCTCATTTAACGTCTCAGCGCCTCCGTTTCTTCATGCGTAGCATACAGCTGGTAATTCTTGGCGTTAGGTGTGGGTTGAGAAGGTTAAACGAGGCCGTAAGCGTAAGACTTAGAATGATACCTGGCGCAGACTGGATTGCGGTTAAGTCCTGGGCGATTCCTCCGCATACAAGAGTCGACCAGAGCTCACCCGCTTTGCTTTTCAGTGTCAAGTTGTCTGAGAAGGTTGCTTGGCTAGAGAAGACTCGGAGCTAAAGGGGGATGGATACACGAAGGAGTAGGCGAGTAGCCCTTCCAACGGCTCTTTAGGCTCATTCCAGATTCGGAGGCCCGCTGACTTTCTGCGGAGTCTAAATAGATTCTGTGAAGAAAATCAATGAGGTGGAAATGTCAGAAGGCTGGGATCCGGCACCTAGAGACCGCACAGAAAGGGTTTCTACTACCACTTATTTTCCAACCATAATAATATTAAGCATTGTGCTGGCATCACCTACATTGGTTCCAATCCTCTGCATGAGTTTTTGCTTTCTGCATTGCCAGGTAGACTCCGGCCTCCCCCGCCACACCTTGAGGAAGAGGCGGCTGGCTGGGGTTTTGTCCGCAGCTTCTGCCTCAAAGGGGGAGAGGCGTGTTCTGGCCCTTTGTGTACCCTCTCCTGGGGCAGAGTGATTGGGTGGAGATGACTTCCAATCCTAACTCCCATTTCCTTATTTGCAGTAGATTCACTTCTTAAGAATTGAGCAGCACGCTGGCATGTTTTTGGAGTAGAGCTTTTGTATTAAATTGACAGAGACTTTGAAAGCATTGCTTGTTCCATTTATTGCAGTAATGTGAAATATATGCTTTTGAGATAGTTAATTACAGATTTTGATGTCTCAATTGAGAAAGAATCATTACAGGCCATGGTTTGTTATTTCCAGCTTTCCCCAAGAAAGTGGTGAAAAATAGTTACATTTATTGGGTGATGCTTGTTACCTGGGCTTCAGACCTATGAAGGGTAAGTTACCAGAGGACTCTTGGAAACCTGGACAGTGCCAGAAGATACAACATGCTTTGCTTCTCTGCATTTGGCTTTTTATGCCATTTACAAACCAACTTGTATCCTGCAACGCCTATTCCCATGGTCTTACTTTAGGTGTGTTATGGCACTGATTAAAGCTATAGCATCAGCTTTGGCCTTGGAAAACATTTGGTCTCTGCCTGTGACTCAAAGTTCCAGATCTGTGTCCTGTCACAGCTTATAGTGGGGGAAAATGCTGGTGCACACTATCAGCACATTAATTTCCCAGCATGGATCTCTGGAAAGGAGGGCTTGGTCACAGGTGGAATTGAGACAGTTTTTCTTCCTGCCTTTGCCTTTTGTGTTTAGTGGTATTTGTCTGAGAGTGCTTCATTTTAGTACCCTTGCAAATGAGAATAATCTACCTTTGTAGCCAGAAGTCAGAATTGATGATAGGTTATGATAAATCTGGACTCCCAGCTAAATGTTTCAACAAAGCAGGGAGAGGAAAGAAGAGAAGGGAGAAGACACATGGTGATGAGCGTTGAGTCCATCAGTGGTTACTTCAGTTGTTCCTACTTGAGTTCAGTGTTTACATAGATGCCTGCTCTGGGAGTGACACAAGACCATTCTTAGTAGGAAGTTGAACATTTTAAGATTTTGGTTTCTTTATCTTTTTGAAATCTAGATGAAGATCCAGTTTCGGACGTGAGACTCACTGGGTGATCATTTCATTGAGATCAACTTAAATGAACAGGTGAAAAGTGCAAGAGGAATGTGCTATGACTGAGGTATGTCTAATGTGATAGATAACTCTCTCTGGATGTTGGGAGGCCATGGAAAAGACCTATTATTTGTTGAATACTGTAATAGATACATTGCATATATTTCCTTCTGATCTCCTGATAATCCTATCAGGTAGATATTTTAAACTCAGGTAAGGAAACTGAAGCCCAGAGAGGTTAAGTAACTACATTAATTCACATAGTTGGTGGTCACCAACTCTAATCACCAACACTGTCCTGCTATGAGCCAGGCACTGTTCTATTTTTTTTCTATATTAACTCCTAATTTCCATAACACCCCTATGAGCCAAGTACTTTTACAATCCTCATTTTATGATAATGAGATCAGGGCACAGAGTCATTAGTATTTTCCTGGCTGTGTGGCAGAATCCACAATTCAAATCCAGTCAGCCTGGCTACAGAGCTATACCAGCTTTCCTTTGGTTAGGGTTTTCATTACTTTTGTTTTTATTATTTAATAAAAAAAT